GATCACATAAATTCTGCTGTGAGAAAATCCTCCGTTCATTTCGCAAACGTTAAAATATCCTAAAGGTAAAGTAATGGGAACATTTATAAACAAATAACTACTATATAAATAAATGAAATTAGAAACTTATTCTCGGAAGAAAGGTTGATTGAGCTTAGTGAGAGCATGGGTGGTCAAGAAGAGATCAAAAAACCACATAAGATTTGTTTAAACCATCAGTAAGTATAACAAGTAGCTCCAGGAGGAGATGGCTGGCATGACCCAGAGATATTCGACTGAGGATTTGTCCAGATTCTCAGGACAAGCTGTCTTAAATTATGTCATCGATGCTATCTATCCATGCTATCTGTCCACGGTGCTCCCGTGGTATATTCTACATATTATTTTTATTACTTTAATAATGATGAAGAGATTGGCAAGGATTCACAGGAATGACAACGTCTGATTGAATCGAGAAGCATTTAAAGTTTTTGAGAATTTATTAAAAATTAACCATGAAACAAAACTATTCAGGACTGGAGACATACCAACATAATATACAAAAGACGTTTTTGAGGAATAACACGAAATGTTAAATGAGGTATTCAAGATGTAGTCAAATGCGAAAGAATTGACTCCTCAATATGTAACAGACTTGCATACGTGTAATGAAGAAATAAGGTGCACAGAGGCACAACACGGCTAAAGAGAGTCTTCATTAAACACTGCTAAAAAATTATTAATTCAGATGATTTGAAAACGTCTTTTACGGTAAAGTGAAAACTTGTAAATGGGAAATTTACCTGACAGTTTGAAGGCAAATGTTCTTAAAGGGTTCTTACAGCCACCTATCAGCCCTAAAGCCCCCAAGACTGACTGTTAGTGACCTTGACATAGGGCCCCTGACTCCCCTGGTGGCTGAAGGCAATGTTAGCCACATGACTGTCCTCCATTCTTTATTAGTAAGCTACATGGTCGCCTGTGGTTTATTCAACACACTCGGTGGCGGTAACATTTACTAAATGAATTTATCTCTCGCACACATCGAAGGCATCACCGTAGGTAGTGGTAAATGGTGATGACTATTAATTATTATCTATTTCTATTAATTATTATCATTTTCTATTAATTGACCATTTAGCAGTCCCCGTGGCGCAGTGGTAAAGCACTCGTCCGGCGCTTTGCGAGTGCTTTGGCCTGAGTTCGTATTCTAGCCTAGGAGGATTGACTGGGCGCCAATCCTTAACCATAGTCTCTGTTCACACAACAGTGAATGGATGCCAGGTTGTTAAACGATTTGTCGGGTCATATTCCGGGGAAAATTAGGATTAAGGACCGGTCCAAAACGTTACGCGTGCTAGTGGCTTAACAGGAATAAAGAACTCTTGAATATATAAATAAATAAAAAAAATCTCTGCATTATACTGAGCCAAGTTATGATGGTCCAACCATGCAAAAGGGTAGAGGGAGATACTGGAAGGAAAGGTCGTGTTTGGATGAGGGAGAGAGTCGTCCTGGGTGAGAGAGTGGGTCGTTTCGTGAAAATAAGGGATATAGTCGTTCTAGGTAAGTGAGAGAAGATTGTACACAATGTGGAGTACCAACGTGGTTGTAACGGATATATGACTGACTGGGATATATGACCATATAATCAGGAACAGCCTCCACCACGTCACTGCCTAATGCATTCCAACTGTTAACTACTCTGACACTGAAAAAAGTTCTTTCTAACGTCCCTGTGGCTCATGTGGGTACTCAGTTTTCACCTGTGTCCCCTTGTTCGCGTACCACCCGTGTTAAACAGTTTATCTACCTTGTCAATTCCTCTGAGAATTTAGTAGGTAGTGATCATGTCTCCCCTTACTCTTCTGTCTTCTAGTGTCATGAGGTGCATTTCAGGTGTGGGCGCGTGTGTGTGCGTGTGTATGCGTGTGTGTGTGTGTGTGTGTGTGTGTGTGTGTGTGTGTGTGTGTGTGTGTGTGTGTGTGTGTGTGTGTATGTGTGTGTTTGTGTGTGTGTGTGTGTGTGTGTGTGTGTGTGTGTGTGTGTGTGTGTGTGTGTACGTGTGTGTGTGTGTGTGTGCGTGTGTGTGTGTGTGTGTGTGTCTGTGTGTTTTACACTGGCATTAATTTAAATAAAACAATTAATTTCCACTGAGACATTAGAAACATTTCTGTTTAAATCCTGCCATTAAGTTTTATTTAGATTAATTTCACGTCAAGTCATGACAAATGGTGGTAGTAGCAGTGTTGAGCTGGTCTCCTGCCACCACTGCTTGAGTTGGTCTCCTGCCACCACTGCTTGAGCTGGTCTCCTGCCACCACTGCTTGAGTTGGTCTCCTGCCACCACTGCTTGAGTTGGTCTCCTGCCACCACTGCTTGAGTTGGTCTCCTGCCACCACTGCTTGAGTTGGTCTCCTGCCACCACTGCTTGAGTTGGTCTCCAGCCACCACTGCTTGAGTTGGTCTCCTGCCACCACTGCTTGAGTTGGTCTCCTGCCACCACTGCTTGAGCTGGTCTCCGTCCTACAGGCAACACCTATTGCTGGAGCCTACATGCTCCCTCCACTCTACCTAGGGGAGTCTACTGCTTCCCCACCTGAGGCTTCCTGCAGATATCACCTGTCTAAAGTGGTCTTCCAGAAACATTTCTTATCATTCCAAATTTAATGCTGTCATTCTGGTCTTTTTTGCACTAAAGTTTTTCTAAAATTATTAGCAACCACCGCCCTCCGCCTGAGTCGGTTTAGAAGAACTCTTTTTCTAAGTCGGTCTTTCCCCACTTCGCCTTGTCCTCTATTGTGTTCATTCCGGTGGCAGAACTTGTGGTGGAAGCCACAAGCCAGTTGTGGCTTGTGTTGTTGCATACCACAACAACCAGAGAGGCCGCACCACTATGCGGCCTCTCACCACCGCCTCCCACTCCTTCACGCACTGTGCTCTCATTTAAGTTTCAAATGTCCATCTGCATAATTGAATTCAACACTAAAATGTAACGCTAATTTTTGTATGTCATTCCAGGGTTGTCCAAGGTACACTTTAGGTCTGGTTCATCCATTTGTTAATGTAGCTTAGTCTGTCTGTGGGCGTGATAGCGTTTGGTTCGTCTTTGTGTATGATGGTATCTGGTCTGTCTGAGGGTATAGAGGTGTCTTGTTAGTTTATCTCTACAGCATGTGGTGTTATGTACGTCCAGACAGACTTTATTGTATGTGGTGTTATGTACGTCCAGACAGACTTTATTGTATGTGGTGTTATGTACGTCCAGACAGACTTTATTGTATGTGGTGTTATGTACGTCCAGACAGACTTTATTGTATGTGGTGTTATGTACGTCCAGACAAACTTTATTGTATGTGGTGTTATGTACGTCTAGAGAAACTTTATTGTATGAGTGTTACGTAAGTTCAGACAGACTTTGCATTTTTTATGCACGTGAAGCACAATATTTATTGTAACTTATAGTCGAATATTATTTCGTTATTTGGATGCTTATCTTTTACGAACATATGTATACATATATTTAATTCTATGCTAATCGTAAGTAATACTGGTGTTTGCATTTTTAGTGAAGACAAAAATTTGTCGTGAATGCTTATCTTCTACATTAAACATTTATCGTGGACTTTTGTGGAAGCTAGCATGCATGAGGATGATAATATTTCATGATATCCCGAAGCTGATGGTATCTGATATTGCTTATTTTCAATATTATTCTTCCATAGACAAGTGTACGCCTGACCACACTTCCACCATATTAATTGATGAGAAAGCCGATTTAAAAATCTATGATAGCTATCACTGACGAGGATTATACTTTTAGATTCACATCGAATACTCTTAACCGAATACCTGTGAAGGTGTTGGAAATTGGTTTTATTCTTTTCTCAGCGTTCCATTGATGTTTCCCACATGACTTACGTGTCATCCAGGAACAAAGGTGTAGTAGAGTTGCATCATTACAATGATGCAGCATTGCCTCTAGTAGAGGCAGCATTATGTAAAAGAGTAATCAGTAGTTTAATTGAAGATCATTCACTCTTAAGGACGAATCCAAGACAGTGTTTCGTCAGTCTGTAGGAGTGACAGTGTCTCATTCACATGTGAGTGGGACGGGCGTCATGTGACGGGTGCGGTGTGACAAGTGCGGCGTGACGGTGTCGTGTGACAGGCGTTGTGTGACGGGTGACAATAAGGTGAAGCACAGTGAAGCGACGGCGGGTGCTTGCCACAGGTGGCTGTATAAGAATAGACAGATAAAACATTGAAAACTATATTATAGAATACCTTTAAAGTTGACATTTTCAGTACTGAAAAAGGTGAATATAAAAAAAACAATGAATTCAATGAATTGAAGTTGTAGTGTCCCTCGGAGAAAGATAAATTTTATACGCTAATCTATTATCAAAGAATTGGGTCGTAAATCAATTTTTAAAACACGCAGGCTGGGGATTCATCAGCCATTTATGTTACTGTATATATATTTCTACCATGTTTATTTTCAGCTATATATGCTCTGTATCACTTTAAACAATATCGAACATCGTACCTCAGCTGATTTTAAACGGGTCTCGTAGTATATGATCGAATCAAGGATCCCGTGTTCGATTCCCGGGTAGGAATTTTTAAGTGTAATTATATATTGTGTTATATTATTTTCCAAAGAAATTATATTCTTTCTATTGTGATGTATGCTTTTTATTCACAAAAGGCTCTGAAATGGTTGTTTCCGTGAGGACCTCAGGTTTTCCATGTGAATGGACCATGGTATCTCCATGGTTTGTGTGGAAGTGCCAAGGCTTGTCTGTGAGAGACCCATTGCTTGATTGTGTGAGAGACCCCTTGCTTGATTGTGTGAGAGACCCATTGCTTGATTGTGTGAGAGACCCATTGCTTGATTGTGTGAGAGACCCATTGCTTGATTGTGTGAGAGTGCCATTGCTTGATTGTGTGAGAGAGCTTCTGGATAACCTGTAACAGAGCCAAGGCTTGTCTTTGTGAGAGAGTAAATCCTGGCTTACCTGTGAGAAAGAGCCCCTGGCTTTCCAGTTTGAGAGAACCATAGCTTTCCTCTGTGAAAGAGCCATGGCTTGCTGTTGTGAGGGAACCCATGGCTTAGCTGTGTTGGAGAACTGCAGCGTGTCTGTGTGATATAGCCTGTGTGAGAGCGACTGTGTGAGAGCCTGTGTGAGAGTGACTGTGGGAGAGCGACTGTGTGAGAGGTAATTGTAATAAACGTGCCTACAAAACCTGGCATAAAAAGTGCGTTAATGTGAGTGTGAAACACACTGGGATACACCTCGACCAGAGACAAAGAGACTATGAGCATCAGGAAAGGTTAGAATTATATTGTATTGTTCATTTATGAAAGAAATGTTCAACGTCGCATTGAGTGAAAATACAAGAAATCGATGAATAAATCAGGTCTTTAAATAAGTTAGACATAATCCTGTTGTTTTATTGGTGTTGGCATTTTGTGCTCTGTGCAGTGGTCAAGGTCGAGGCTCGTAGTGGGCTCTGTGCAGTGGTCAAGGTCGAGGCTCGTAGTGGGCTCTGTGCAGTGGTCAAGGTCGAGGCTCATAGTATGCTCGACTGTCCAGTGTTTTACCTTTGCTCAAATTATTTGTTGTTCATTCGCCCATCGCGCATGTTTTTCATGGTTTCACCTCCCGTGTTCTACATGTTCTCAATCCCCGTTTTCAGCATGATCTCACCGCCCATGTTCTTCATGCTCTCACCAACCATGTTCTTCATACACTCATTAACCATGTTGTTCATGCTTTCATCACCTGTGTTCATCATGCTCTCACCGCCCGTGTTCAACCAACAGTTTTTTTTAGAAATGTTTAAATGTTCTCAAGTTCAATAATTAGACATATATAAACAGTACATTACTGTAAATCAAAATGTCTCTTTCCATGTCCGTTCGAGGTTGAAGGTTAGTCTTACCCAATTGTTCCCAGTAACTGGTGTTGGGAACGTGCCCATCATGGTCGGGTCGGAGTTGGTACCAGTCAAACGAGTACAGCATGACACGATGCCAAAGGGACCCCCCTATGTGACCCTCCTGGCGAATCTCAGACTGACAGGACTATCAAAACATTCTACAGACAATTTTAAAATCAATTTTTCTTACTGTTTAGTAAAACAATACAGAGTTATGCATACATAATTGTAAAAAAATTCTACTCATCTAACTTCTTTCGAGCTCTCAAGTCAGTCGCGATTATGTGTCCAGGTCCTGTGTCTCTGAGAGAGATGCGTATACATAGTGACACGTGATACATATTGGTGAGAGAAAGATAAAGAGAGAGAGAGAGAGAGAGAGAGAGAGAGAGAGAGAGAGAGAGAGAGAGAGAGAGAGAGAGAGAGAGAGAGCAAAGGGGGCTATAGTTAGGGAGGAAGATAGGCAGACAGACAGACAGTAGCCAGACCCGGACACCGCCGGGTACCGCCTCTTGGATATCTATATAAAAGTCACAAAGAAAAATATGATGAAAAATCTTTGCTCACTGATGCCAGCTACAATAAATAATTGTATTCTATATTCACGCTTGAAATATTTAGTTTAGAACCATTTTGACGATCTATACGCATTGTACTTTTGAACGGCAAGTTTCAGAGTTTGTTAAATTACGAACTCAAATAAATTGGACAAAAATGTTTTAGCAGAGAGCGTCCTCTTACACGTACGCGACAGTAGTGCATTGTTTGTTATTATTTAAGCAAAGGAATTCCACACTTTAGGAACCTCGCTTGCTTTATGCATGTTTCGACATGGTTAAACACATGTTTCGACATGTGTTCGAGCCTCGGAACACCGCGCTGGAAGGATCCATTTCCTTAATGGAGTCCAGCAAGTTTACCCTTCAGAATCTTTTAAGTGGCCACACTCCTTTGCTTCCCCGTCCTCTCTTATGAGGATCCCAATGCTCACAAGAGTCTCACATGCGTTGCCTCAGAGTGCACATTTATGAGTGCAGAGCATGAGTGGCAGAGTGCGTGATACATTACCTGTTGTCAACTGACTTTAATGTTACATCTGCCGCTGATGTCTTAATTCCATTTTTTTATCATTCTTTCCTTCGGAGTTTTCAAGCCGAAAACTTTATTTGTTCCTTCCCAGGGGCCTTGTTTTGCACATTATATTTTTTTAGGGAACACTAACCAGCATATCTTTTGGTGGTTGCACCTGTAGTGTTGTTGGTGGACACTGTGTTGGTGATATGGTGGTGATAAAATTGTGGCTTTGATAGCGGAAACTGTATAGCTGATGAATAACTATCAAAATCTCTGTAGGTTTGGTAACGATATATGAGGCCAGAGAAATCCTAACCTTGGTGAGATAAATTATGTATATATATAGGAAATTAAGAGCAATGTTATGAGTCCATTCGCGCACTCATTGCGATCTCCTGCCCGCCTTAATGGCTACACTTAAACCAGAAGAAATAATTCATAAATTTAATTCATTTGTTTGAAGCGAATCATCAATTCACCAAAATAGAATAAAGTCTTTTTAAGACGTTTTCTGGTCGCTGACCACTTGAAACATTGCCACAAATATCAACTTAAAAGAAAGTTAATGCCACTTAAAAATGAATGATGTGTGTAATGGTGTATCAAGGCTTCAGGAGAGATTAAACACCTGACGTCCGTCCTTCAGATGATTACAAATTAAGAATAGATCAGCTTCACTACCTTGATCATTATCTGTAGAATTCAGTAACTTCATGATGTGTATCCATTGGTCATCAATTATTATGACTAATTATGACAATAATTAAGAAAATTCAATTATACCAATAATTTTGAAATGTCTGAGTAGATCTGGACTTGGGGAAATAATATACATATAGATCAGAATAGAAACTCAATTTCAGCCATATAAGGCAGCAAAGACATGAACCAGAGGTTAAAGCAACAACCGCCAGTTTTAGGTCAAAGGTTATATAGGCGATCAGTCCCAATCGTGCCATAAATATGTTTCCATCACTATGCACCATCAACATACCAAATGGCTTCAATAGCTGTAGGTGCATTATATAAGTCTCTCTGATATGATCATGAGAATGCATAACCGGCTGCCTGTGAGGCAGACATCATTGTAAACTCCGAGTCATCATTGTAAACAATGAAAAGAGCCAGGTAGATAATGTTGGTCTTCGGTATAGGTGAAGCAAGCCAGGAGTGGATCATAGTTGTGATTCATATCAGAAAAAGTAGAAGTCAGAGGACCACGAGTGAATCAGTGAATTACAGTGAATCGAAAGCTTAATAGACGCTGATCAATACGGTAGTGTGCAGGTTGAGCCGAGGCTCCGTGTGCCAACAGGAGGACTCGAAGCCTGGAGACTCTATATGTACCGTCGACTGAGTGTCAGTCAGCAGTTATTGTGATCATTATCACTGTCTAGTATATGAGTGGTCCCTTATGCTGATAAATATATAAAAGAAATAGTCTTTGGCTATGAACCAGGCTAGTACTAATGGGAACATCTGTCCTAGCTACTAGAAGATTGGTCACCTGTCCTAGCTAGTACACCTGGACATTCACCTCACATAATACAAAAAATCAAGTATCCTAGCCGATATCAATACGATAATCAGAAGTGATTATCTGCTGATTATCACTAGTGTTCAGTTCACAGATGGCCATCGGGCTATGCCTAGTTGAACAACACACCGTACTGCCCCAGGTGGCGGGGAAGAGTCCCCACCCTTGCTGACAATCCTCGCCCCAAACATTTTCCAGCGGCCGTGACTGGACGAGCAGCTGCAGCGGTCCACCTATGTTGCTCAGTGACGTCATCAAGCGGGGCGGGGCCTCATGGTGTGGGAGTGGAGGTGGGCGGAGCCTTTCAGCTACCCTCCCTCTATACATATTAAACTTAGGAACTCTGTCTCAGTGTCTCTATCTCTCTCTCTGTCTCTCTGTCTCTCTCTGTCTCCCTCTGACTCTCTCTCTGTCTCTGTCTCTCTCTGTCTCTCTCTGTCTCTCTCTCTCTCTCTCTCTCTCTCTCTCTCTCTCTCTCTGTCTCTGTTTCTCTCTCTCTCTCTCTCTCTCTCTCTCTCTCTCTCTCTCTCTCTCTCTCTCTCTCTCTCTCTCTCTCTCTCTCTCTCTCTCTCTCTCTCTCTCTCTCTCTCTGTGTATATATATATATATATATATATATATATATATATATCTATGTGTGTGTCTGTGTCTGTGTGTGTGTGTGTGTGTGTGTGTGTGTGTGTGTGTGTGTCTGTGTCTGTGTGTCTGTGTGTGTGTGTGTGTGTGGGTGTGTGTGTCTGTGGGTGTGTCTGTGTTTGTGTCTGCGTCTCTCTGAACGTCTGTCTGTGTCTCGTGTTCTCTCTCTCTCTCTCTCTCTCTCTCTCTCTCTCTCTCTCTCTCTCTCTCTCTCTCTCTCTCTCTACAGGCGTATGACAAATGCAGCCATTTAAAGAGTTTTGGAACACTCTCTCTCTCTCTTCAAGCTCTACTGTGCACATTCGACGTCATTATGAACCATAGCGTCAGAATATATCAACAAGTATGATTTAGTACATCACAACACCTCCAGCTCCACGTTGAGTCGCTGCTTCATAACCCCACTGACTGATTTTTGAGGAGATCTGACTGTTAATGCAATATACTCGAAATACCAATCAAGCGATATATAATGGAGTAATTGAGTGAAAATTCGACAGCGGCTGGTAATTGTTCAGATAGTCAATACATATCTTGGGGTGACAAGAGGGCACATTGTTGGTGACAAGAGGACACACCTTGGGTGACAAGATGGCACACCATTGATGACAATATAACACACCATGGATGACATGATGACACACACCGTAGGTGACAAGAGGACACACCAATAAACCAATACTCCGCACATGGATGATATGTAACTCACTCAAACTATGCACAACGGCACTTTAAATTATAGAAATTTATTATCACGTTGCCGGGAATGATATACAAGGATTATTTTGAATGTCTATAAAACTATTTCTAGTAAAAAACAAAGTTATGTATGTTGTATGAAATAAAGAAAACAAACAAACGCCTCTGGCTGGAGGATATTTCGTTCAGTAAAGATGTTTTTATTCGGTTGACAGAAGACAAATGCGTGAATGCAAAAGATGTACCCGGCTGACACAATCTCAAAGACGATTTTTTGGGGAAACTCTTTATTCAACAAAAGGTGCACCTCATATCTCGGTGTATATATATGCTCAGAGTGTTCTGTAGTCCTGTTCCATGTTCAGGTCTGAGGTATAATAGTTGGATGGTCAGTAGGCATGTATTATTGGTCTTAATAACTCTCTAAGGGTTGATTGGCTTTCAGCCCAAAGCCACTTAATTCTTCAGAAATTAGCTCTACCTTGAATTTTTTTTCAAATTCATATTTTTTGTCTTCTCTGGAACAATGGGTTGCTCAGTCTTTTGTCTGTGATTTCCACAATAAACAAAAGGCAGCATTTATATTATTTGCTTCTTGTCTTCGGAGATGTTATGAGTGTTTTATAATTAATCCTACAAGACTATATAAAAATCTATACTGATAAAATTATAGTTTGAACATTCGTTGCCCTTTAACTTTCCCCTCGGTGGTTGGCTTCATGAGTTTTATTCGTCTTTGACATGAGAAATGAGACGTAGTGTGCTGTCCTGCCATTAATTCAGCCCGCCTACACTAAGGATATTATGTCTGTGTAAATGTGACCTGCCATGGTAGCTGATTCCATTTCCCTGAGGTTCTAGGAGACTTGAAATGAGAAACCCACGGATGTGAGGCCGAAACTCTATT